GCCTGCAGCCCAGTCAGTCCTCTTCCTGCACAGTGAGGTGGGAGGCAGGGGTGGGTCTCAGGTGGAGGAGAGGCACAACCTGACTTTGGTTCCAGTGGATCCCCTGGGTGGTGGGAATATTCCAGAAGCTGTACTGTAAGGGCAGGCAGGCCTCTCTCTCTCAGAAAAGCATGAGTGGCTGGAAGGAAAAGGAGGACATGAGAAGTGTGAGAGGTAGTCAGTGCCCACTGGGCTGCAGACAGATGCCAGGGTGGGGCAGGCCAGGGTGGGATGGGTGGGTCCTAGGGAAGGAAAGGCTGCAGGGCCAGCAGGAGGGCCCTGGGGCTCCCCTTTGTCCAGATGAAACATGGACGGAGCTAGCTGGTGCTATGATCTGGGAGAAGAAGGGAGGGCCAGTGTGGGGTTTTGGTTGGGATGGTGAGGCATCTGGCCAGTGAGACTGCCACCCTCCAGGAGGAATGGGGGTTGGAGGTGTGGAGACCCCTGTGGTGGACTTTTACCTCTTCCTCTACCCAAGAGAATGTGGCTTCTCCCCATGCCTTCTCAGTCAGGTGCTCACTGCTCTTGGGTACCTGCCCTTGCTGTTATTAGTGGAGTTTCTTATCAAAGAAAGAGTCAGGTGATCTTGAGTGCATCATTCTCCCTCTCTAAGCTTTTTAGTAAAAGAACAGGCTTAACATAGATGGTCTCCAACCAAGCCCCTTCTAGCATTTCTATGAGTGGATGGAATCAGACACCGCATCTCACCCATTTCCTTACTATCATCGTGGTTTCAGGTTCCTGCCGTGCCCTCTATATTTCCTTCTCTCTCCTGGGCTGCCATGGATGGTGGGGCAGGGTACTCACCACACAAGGACACCCTGCCAAGGGAGTAAGTGGAGGCTCAGTACCAACCCACACTCTGCCCTATAAGCCATGTGCCCTGGCTGGCTTGGGGTTGCACTTACCCAGGGTAAAAAACACCTTTTTCTAGTTTGTTCTAAGGTGCAGTATGCACAGCCCCCACTGCCCTACCCCATGCATGTTCCTTCTTCTCATCTTTTCTGTCCCTTTTCTCCTAGCATCCCTCCAGCTTCACACAGGAGGATCCAAACTCAGCGTTTACATGGAGCCTTGGCAGGGAGGGCAGCAGCTGCGTCTGCGAGGAGCTCTGCCTCCGAAGCCCCGTGGTGCTTTTCCTCTCCTTATCAATGCTGAGAGTTGCTTCTCAAAATTGCTCAGCCGTCATTAACACCATGGATTAGGTCAGAGGAGAGCATGTTTGCAGTCTTAGATGCACAGGCAAAATGCTGATGCTGATGATTCCAGATCTTCTGGGCATGGCCCATTCCGTGCTCACAGTTCTTAATCAGAGGGACGAGTATTGGTTACACGGCGGGGTGGGCCAGGGCCGTGGGTGGCTCTAATCTGGCTGCAGCACCTGCTGACCTGTGTGGACATCACTGGGGACCTCAGTTACATCCCTTAAAGGAGAAACGCTATCTGATGGCCATGCCCATGGGCTGCTTTTGAACCATGAGCAAGTCATTTGAGCAGGGACTGCGAACATTTTGCCCTGGGCCTGATCCACAAGTGTTGTGTTCTGGGGCTCACCGGTTGACGGTGTAGTTGGGGAGTATCTTTCAGATCAGCCTGCCCTGTGTCCTCTTCTGAAAAGCCTCTGTGCCTGGAGGAGGTAGAGGCCTATGGCCTTGCATCGTGGTCCCTCACTTCTCGGGCTCATATTCTCCCTCTGTGACCCACCATGTGCTCCAGCCACACCAGGGCCCCCAAACACAGCCCTCTGGCCCTTAATCAAGCTAGTTCTCTGCCAGGAGTGCCTGTTCAGCCTTGTTCTCCAGGTGGAAGTTCATCATCTGTAGCAGCTGCTGTCCTGTTAGTGCCCTAACTTTACCTCTTCTCTGTGCGCTCCAGCCCCATGGCCAAGTGCCAGTGCTTGTGTGTCTGCCTGAAGTTTCTTCTGGTTTCTGGAACCTGCATTGCCACTCTGTGCTGGTCAGGCCAGAAGGGCCAGGGAATGAACACCCTCCAGAGGCAGCCCTCGGCCACTGAGCCAGTGACTGACTCCAGTTGCTGTCTGCACGCCCTGCTCGCCTGCCCCTCTGGCAGGCTGAGCTTGAAGCATGGTCTCATTCTCAGCAGAGATGGGTCCTGGTTGTCTGCCGTGATAACTGGCTTGATCAACCACCTTACTGGCTACCGTCCCTGTCTCACCCCACATTCCCCACATAGTGTTTTCTTAATCTCTGAAATACTCTACTCCCTTTCAAATCTTGCTCTCAGGGTCTGCTTCTTAGGGAAACCAGACATCATCTTCATTGTCCTTTTCAATGTCACCTCCTGTTTCTAGTTTCCCTTGACCCTCCCTGTTCCCACTCCTGGGCAGAGCCATCCTGGGTCATGCTTCTCTATGCCCAGGGCCCGTAACACCTCAAAGGCACTGCTCGCATTGCACTGGGGCTGATCCGCATGCATATCCTGGGCCCCCACTAGCCTGGGGACTCTCTGGGGACAAACACTGCTCTTTTGGCATCTTTATTCTCTGAGCTTAGGATGCCACCTGGCACAGAGCAGGTACCTAATACAATTTTTTGACAAAGAGCCAGCAGTGGAAATGCCATGACCAAGAGGGACTGGAGAGAGACAAGTCGAGAATATTTCTAGAAAGAGACCCAGGGGCTTCAACTACAGATGCTGTCACATAAAAGGTTATGTGGTAGAACTTCAATGTGACCACCACATGAACAATCTTCAGTGGCTCCCTGTTATAGCCCTCCCCAGCACAGTAATGTCAAAAAGAGCTTTTAAGTCGCTCAGCTACCTGGCCCCATCCAAAGAGGCACTCCAGTCTCTTGTTCAGAGTCAGGCTTTGGTTTCAAATGGCCTGGGTTAGAATTCTCACACTGCCAAGCTCTCAGCTGGGTGATCATGGGCAAGCTACTTAGCCTCTCTGGGCACTAGCTTCCTTATTTATTAAATGCAGATAATAATACCTCACACCCACGATTACTCCGAGGATTTAGAACTGTGCATGTCTGGCCTAGTGTAGGCTCTTTGAAAATATAATGATGGTTATCGTTGTTATCAAGGAATTTTCCCAAGTGGCCCTTGCACAGGCCAAGAACACAGCAGACACTCAGTAAACACTAGTGGACTGAATGAATAATATATTCCACAAGTGCGTTTGGAGCAGTGTCTAGGACAGATATGTGGGGGTAAGGGTGTGAAAGACATAGAGATTCCAAGCCCAGTTTTGTATTCCTCAGGAAAGGAGGTCCAAATTATTCTCTTTGCAGAGAGCCGCGGCCTGACCCACAGTGGGGCCTTCCGGGCCAGCCGTGCCGCCATTGCCCTGAGAATGCCAGCGCCTCTGCCCCTTGCCGTAGGTCTCAGGTGGCAGAACCGAGTCCAGCCGGTACCGTGCCATGGGTAAAAGGAAAACACTTAACCCAGGCCTAGGAATGTTTCCGTCCTTGGATCTTTGACTCTGGCTGTATCTGATGCGCTGGGAAATTGACTTCAAACACAGTCTCCACGAACCAGTGAAGGGCCAGCTGCCAAAGCCAAGACCCAGGGCACGTGGCTTTGCCTAGCCTCGGGATCCTGGATCCCCGGTCCGGCCCGGCCCGGCCCCGCCCCGCCCCTGCCACAGAGGCGCGTCAGGTGGGCGGCGGAGGCGGCTCGGTCTCAGCAAAGCTTCGGTCCAGGCTGAGGAGGGGCTGCGGGAGGTTTTCTGGAAACGAGTTCGCGCGCGCATCCCAGAGAATTTGCCACAGCGCTGCGGCCCCAGGCCCGGAAGGGCGAGCTGGGACAGGGTGGGGCCTGGCCGGGGAGCGGAGACGCCTGAGAGGTGCCTCAAAGGCCCTCTCGCTCCCAGGCCAGGGATCAGAGCCCGGTGCACAGCAGGCGCCTACTCCGTGCTGATGGTTTAGAAGCCCGTGGAGCGCTAAGGCCGCCCTCTCAGTCTAGTGGAGGAAGCTTCTAGACCCGGGGCTGGCTCAGGCGTATGGTCATGAAGGGCCAGGCATGGGGAGGGCGCTGGCGCGTGGCGTAGGTGGCCGACAGCGTGGCCAGGCCTGGCGGGAGCCGGAAGCGATGGGGACGAGCCCAGGCAGCGACCCCTCCTAGGCCCAAAGGCGCTCACCAGAAAACTGAGGCGGCCCCTCAAGGCTCTAGGGTCGCCCCCGCACACTTCACGCGGGGGCATACTCGGCGGAGAACTCCCCAACACTTTTGGTATGTGTGTGGGGTCTCTTCTGTACATGTACCCCGCCCCCCACCGTTTAGACCCTTCTCAAACAGGTGCCCCTCGGTTCACACAACCCTCCCCCTCCCCCGCCCAGGTGGAGCCCCCGCAAGGAGGTGAGGGATTGGGGATCCGCGCAGATGGAGACGCGCACCTCCAGGACCACCTCTGGCTGCCCCCTCCAACCTCCAGGCTCCCAGCATCTGGAGCGGGGCCCCCACGCCTGCCACGCGCGCACACACAGCCACGCTCACACACACACTCGCCCCGGCGCGCAGACCCCGCCCGCGGCCCCGCCCCGGCCCCTGCGGGAGCCCCCTCCGGCGCTCACCGCACTGTTAGCAGCCCGGCCGGGGTGGCGGGAGGCAGCGGCTTCGGGCAGATTTGATTTTCCCGCAGCTCCGGTGACCCGGAGCCGGAGCCCGAGCCGAGGAGGTGGCGCTCGCAGCCGCGTCCCCAGCCCCGCCGCTGCCCGCGCCGAGACCCAGGAAGAGGCGATCAGCCCCGGCGCTGTGGGCTCCACGCTCCTCGCGTCCCGCCAGCGCCGCCGCCTGCGCCCCAGCAGCCCCCCACGCCCCCTTTCTCTCTTGCACCCCTTCTGCCCCCGCCCGAAGCCGCACGCCCCTCTCCAAGGCTCGGCGCGTCCCTCCCGGCGCCCTAGCCCCGCGCCCCTCCGCCTCGCCCAGCTGCGCCGCAGCTCCCTGGGCGCCTCGCCCCTCTCCGCTGGGCCCCCAGCCTCCTCGTCGCGGTCCCCGCACCCGCCCCTGGATCCGCGGCCCCCGCTCCTTCCGCCCCCCTTCCCTCTCTCACTTCCCACGCCCCCTCTTCGAGCTCCTCTCTCCTCCCTTTGCCGCCCAGCCTCAGCTCCTGAGTAGGGGGAGAGCCCACGGTTTCAGTTGCTCCGAAGAAGGCGTGAATCGCCCAAGGGTTGACTAATTCGGGGTGAGGGTCGCGGTGGGAGATGGAGCCGCCCGAGGACATGACGTCGTTGAGCGAGTTCGACTCGTTGGCGGGCAGCATCCCGGCCACCAAGGTGGAGATCACCGTGTCCTGCAGGTGAGCCGCCCGCTGGCGGGGGTCCCCCTGTCCCGCCCGTGGACCCGATGCCCCGGGGCCGCGTCCTCGCCTCCAGGACGCACCCCGCCTCGGTCCCCGCCTGTCTAGCAAGAGCCCCGCGGGTGGCGACCACGGACTAGAAGCCAGGCTTGGGGTCGTATACCCGAAAGTTTGCTCTCGGGGCTGTTGCTTCGAGGAGAGATGGAGACGCAGGAATGGGGGCCAGGCTCCCGAGGCGGGAGAGGGAGGGAGTGAAAGGCGATACCCGGGTCTTCGCTCAGGTTATTTCTCATCAAATCCTCCCCAAACCGAGGAGTGAGTGATCTGCCCCATCCCTCCTAGGCGTGCCCAGCCCCTGCCTTCCTGCCCTCCTTTCCTCTCTTCTCCCCACTGCGCCCTTATCCTCTCCCTCCCCACCCACTCGCCGTCCCGGACCCGGGATTCTGAAAGCCTTCTCACCTCCAACACCAAAACTGACTCCTGGAAAAGGATCAGACTGACTCAGTCATAGAGGTGTGGATAACTGATGACAATTTTAGTGGTACCATTAAAAAGAGACAATAACTTGGGTACACAATCTTAAGCCAGAGGACTAGATCACTGAGTGTGTAATTTTAGAGTCCAGCAGGGGAGGGGGAGTGTGTTTGTGGGCTCCCACCCCAAACTCCTCAGTCACGCCACGCAGACTTTGAGGGTAACTTCGTCTCAGTGCTGGGTATCTGCCCGGTTCTCCTCTCTGAGGGGAAGGCTGCCCTAAGCAATAAGGGGTGTAGGTGAGAATGGGGGGACTTTTCCCTAGTGCAGTCACCCTGTGGCTGGCCTAGGGTGACTGTCTTGCTGCAACTGTGGGGGGGGGCGGGGCGCTGTGGCCTAGGCATAGCCCACCTCCAGGTCCCCTGAGAGGCCATTCCCTCTGCCCCAAGTGACTTGAGTCCTGGCTGTGCCCTTGTTGCAGTTCACCCACCCCATCTTCTTTTCTAGGGCCCGTTTGGTCAGACCCTTCACCCACCCTCAGAGCCCCCACCCCTATGTTCTAGGCAGTGGGGAGGCGGAGACAGAGCCAGAGGACCTGTGTTGGGGGGTGAGAGAGGGAGGGGTTGGGGGGTGAGCGAGAGTGAGGGTTGATGTCAAACATAACTGCCCCCCTGTGCCGGGCTCCCGCAATGACTCCCATGTGTCACTCCCACGGTCCCACACACGGTGCTGTCAGAATCGTCTCCCAGCACAATATGCCTCTTGCCATTGCTCTGCTGGGAGAATTCTGATGGCCCATTGGCTCCAGTCTCACCTCCTCAGCCATCAGCAGCTGCCGCAGCCCTCCCTCCCTCCTCCAGCAGGTCACACTTCCCTGTACCCACCTCCCCCACCCCACCCCACCCCATCCCAGCCTTCAATCATGCCTGTGTCAGAGCTGTCTCCGGATCCTCCCACCTCCAAGCCCATGAACAACAACCCATTTCTCATCCAGAGTTCACCCCTCCTTCATCTCTGCCACTTCATGCCCTGCACCCTAAAACGCCTGGCCTCATGCCCCCACTTCCAAACATCCTTCTCCCCCACCAGACGCCCAGCCTGCATCACTGTCTTCTGTGTCCTCTGGGTCCTGAGAACTCACCTGGGCCATGGGCTCACTCACACACTGCGCACTCAGCCTCAGAACACATCTCAGGTGTGTAGACTCCATCCCTCCTCGCCCACAGGAACTATCTGAGCATGTGATGGCAGAGATCCTCACCCCGACTCACACCCAGGAACCCTCTCCTCCAGAGGTGAGGAGAGGAGGCAGGAGGCACACGGTGTTGTGGCTTTGGAATCGGACCCCTTGACATAGAATCTGCTCCACCACTTGGGGCTGACTTTGGCTGAGGTTTCCCGCATTTGCAAACAATGAGAAACCTCATTTGCCAGGTAACTCACATGCTTGGAAGAGCGGCTGGCACTTCGTAGCAGGTGCTTGACAAATACTGTTGGAGGAATTAACTTACAGGAATAGAGGATCATGAAGTAACCAACACACTACTTTGCACTTGCTTGGCACTTGGTGCTCAATAAGTAGCTACAGCGATCATCAGTCATCATAAGGCAGTAATGCTGGGCCCCTCCTGTTTGCTCCCTGGAAGTAGATGTGTCAGACCTTTTGCCTAAAAGGTACCTAGGAATGCATTTGAGATCCGGGGAATGTGGTTCTGAGCTCAACCCTGGTGTCCACTCCCTCTTGGACCCATGATCCATCAGCTTGAGGAGGGCTGCCCCAGGCGCTGTTCCTGGTCTCTGAAAGGCCGAGGGTGGAAAATGGGTTTTGGTAGGAAAGAGTGAGGAGGGGAGAGTCACTTGGGACAGAGGGGAGGCCGGAAAACAATGTAGGTGGGCTTGAAATTGTAAATCCATCTCTTTGCCTCAACCAAGTCCAACTATCCAGGTTCTAGAAGATGGGGAGGGAGAGAAAGGGGAGCAGGGAGAAGAGGAGGAGGAGGAGGAGGAGGATGGGGAGGAGGGAGAGCTGAACAGAATGGTTTTCTGCAGTGTGTTCTACACTCCATAGTCACTAGGTAATGTGAGTCAAACCCTCCGCCCTGCAGCCCATGGGCAGCACTGACTGGGCCCCAGGAGGAGGCTATGGGGTGCCCCTGCGCTTAGCATCTAGGTGACACCTGCTGGTGGGCAGGGAGCAGTAGGAAAGGCTGAGGGGTTAGTGGGGTGAGAACTCCAGGGGGCTTCAGAATGAGCAGGTGGGGTTGAGGGAGGCCGTTGTTTCAGGGAACTGGAAACGCACATCCTGTAGACCGTTTCACACCCTCTCTGCTCCTTAGGCAGGTCCCTGCCACCTCGTGCGGCCCTAGGAGCTCTCTGCCCTTGCTTATGGGAGGGCCCAAACCCCCGCTATTGCCCACCCTCGGGCACTCTTAGCTGAGCGAAGCTGCCCGGTGCAGGGGCACGTCTGAGCCTCGGCACAGGATCACCGCAGAGGCCCAGCCGAGCTGGGCGGACGGCACCGTGGGATGGACATGTGTCCATGTGTCTCCTGGGCTAACCTGTGGTCTACTCCCAAATAATTGTTTTCTACTGACTTTGGTGAACTTAGGACCAAAGATCATAAAGCCCCTGTGTTTTGGGCTCAGCGGTTGAGACCATGGGATGTGGGATCTCTCCACCTCGGTTCAAATCCCAGTGCCGTCCCTGTGACACTGGGTAAACTACTTAGCTTCAGTTTCCTCCTCTATAGAGAAATTATAGTAATCCTTATCTTAGAGGAATAATCCATGAATAGTCATTTATGTTGCTTATTATTTGGCACCTGAAAGTAAATGAAAATCTGTCTCTATAGCTGAGTCCCAGGGCCTGGAGATCTGATCCATTTAGAGGTTTCGAGTGAGCAGCGTAGGTGGTTTATGGAACCAGATACGAGCAGCCACTGTGGGAAGTGTGAGCCACGAGCTGGTCTTCCCTCTGGTGGTCTGCCCCAGACCTTGGCTCACGGGGTTCGCCGCCCTGTAGACTCGATCAGAACCCACCCGTCTACCGTCCCATTCCCTAGGCGCCACACTATTTTTCTACTTTCCATGCGTCATCTGATGCAGGGATCAGGACCAGCTTGCTGGTTAGAAAGAGCGATTTGCATTTTTTATGTAACAGGAAACCTTTGCACTTCCGCAGGGTCCTGCTGGAAGAAGCAAAGCGCACTTCCACATGGTGGGGCTTCCGAGACCTTTAGAGAAGGCAAGCAGGGAAGGTGGAGTCCAGAGGCAGACTCGCACAGCCCTGCTGGAATCTCTCAAGCGGCTGCCCTCACCGACCAGCTGGCGGGGGCTCATGGGCAGTTGCTGCCTCTGCCCCAGAGATGTTATTTTCTGCTGTCGGTTCAGATTGGTGTTTTGCGGCCCTGGGGCAAGAGAGGCAGTCTAGCTCAGGAGCTGTGTGCCCTGAGACTGTCAGAAGGGGTGTGAATGGGCTCTGAAGGCTTTCTTCTGATGAGAGCGGCTTTGGGGAAGGAGGGCCTGGGGGCAGCGAGGCGGCTGTCAATGCCAGTACTGAGAAAAAGAGGTCCGGTCAGCTATTGAATATGCCAAGGCATTCTTTAGTGGAGCCAGGGGAATAATAACAGTGGGATTTATTAAGTGCTTACTACAGTGCTAGGCATTTCGCATCTGTATGAGGCCGAACCATGTGCAATTTCCTCTACTCAACTGTTTCTGACCTACTCAGATAGCAATTTGGTTCAAACTAAGATTATTATATTAGTTTTCAATCCCTGTGTAACAAATTACCCAAACCTAGCAGCTTAACACAACGGCGTTGGTTATCTCACAGTTTCTGTGAGTCAGAAGCCCGGGCGCGGCATCACTGGCTTTCCTGCCCGGGGTCTCCTCAGGATGAAATCGAGGCACCTGCAGGGACTATGAGCTCGTCTGAGGCTTGGGGGCCAAGCCAAGCTCTTTTAGGTTGTTGGCAGAATTCAGTTTCTTGCAGCTGTAAGACTGAAGTCCTGTTTTCTTGCTGATTGTTGGATTGGGGTGTCTCTCAGCTCCCAGAGGCCACCCTCAGGTCCGAGCCACGTGGACCTCTCATAACATGACAGCTTACTTCTTCAAAGCCAGCAGGAGAGTCTCTCCCCAGTCTGCTCTCCCCAGACAGTCTTATATAAAATAACAATAGTCATAGGAGTGAGTGTTTCCTCATATTCCCAAGTCCCACCCACACTCAAGGGGAAGGAATTATGCAGGTTTGTACACCAGGGGGTGGGAATCTAGGGCACTATCTTAGATTTCTCCCTACCACATTACTGGATCTTTCTAGCCAACAACAATCCCATGAGGTGGATGATAGTATCTTCCCTTTAGGCTGATTAGGAAACCAGGGCTCAGAGAGGTTAAAGGGACCTACCAAAACTACACACTTAGTATGTTTTGGAAAGGGGGAATTCAAATTTAGTTTTCTCAAACTTTAAAGTTTTAAGGGCTTTTTGAGGCTGGAAATAGGGATCTCTATGAGGATCACGGTAT